CCCTGGCCTGGAAAACTGCAGGGACTCGTCCAGGCAGTCACCGCAGAATCGGTAACGATTGAGTGCGGATTAAAAAAAAGCCATCTCTGAGATGGGGCAAGGAAGATGCAGGGGTGCATGTAGTGTATGCGTACACTTTGTCTTCTAGTGATACAGTGCTATAACACTTTTTCAGATGTGTTTAATTTAGTTTAATACTAACATTAAACACCCATGCACCTACAGTGTTTCTCCCCAAAAACATTTCAATGCTGCTTAAAAGCAGATAAAGAAAAATAAAGTTATTAAAATAGTGTATCTACCACAAAGATTATTCTGAATGTGTGTTGTACCCGTGCAGGGTCATGATCACCCTTATCAAAACAATGCCTTTTCAAGACAAGAATCATGCTAAATTCAGCTAACCCGGGGGAGATTGTTGGACTTCATCAAGGAAAGAAAAGAGATAGAAGCAGTGGAGACCATAGGAAAATTGCAAATACATGAGAGTGTCCCGTAGATCTTCTGAAAAAATTGAATGGATGAGTCATAACAGTTCAGCACTAAATGTCACACTAGAAACAGGCGTGACCTTTTGTGTCTTTTTTTTTTTTATGCTAAGTATGTCTTTCTAATATACTGAAATTGCATTTCAGGTCCTGGATGCTTTAGATGAACTGGGTGATTATTTGTGTCTGAAATATTCCCGGTATGCTAAGTCATCTCGTCCTGAACTATATGATGAAACAAGCTTTGAACTTGAAGATTAAGCTTCCCTCCCATGGAGAAACCATAATGATGTTACAAGGAGGAGATGGGGGTCTCAACAATAGGAATGCATTTCTTTTTTTCTAAGGACAGTTTTTGCTTCACAGTTAATTGAACCAAGAGAAGCATTGCATGTCTGTTTTTACCAGATTGGACTCTGTGTGCAAAGGACTAGAATATTGCTGCACTTCTCTAACCAAGAAATACAAGTATTATTATTATTATTATTATTATTATATTATTATTACTATTATTATTTGACACCAAAGACTTTAACCCACTAAATCAGTTGCTATTAGACAGCCTTTGTTCCTGTTTTAAGAGCAGAGTTTGAAAAAAATTAATTATGATTACACTTATTTTGAAAAATGACTTGGAATATAGTATAGTAGCTGAAAAAAAGTTATCTTGTTAAATTGGCTTTCATTTATAGAAGAGGGATATCTCCATTGCAGCTTACCAGGATTTAGGCCAAAAAAAACAACCACCATCAAGTAGAAATACTTTGACCTGCTGAATTAACAGGAGCCTGATTCAGGGGTAGTCAATGGTCCTTCATGGCTTTGTATAACTTTAAGTATTATTGTTAGAAAGTTTTGAGAAAGGAAGAAAACCACAATTCATCTTTGCTGCTTGGTATTTTAAAAAACATTTTTATATTTCAACTGATAACCAAGGATAAGCCAAAACAATGTTAATTTAGATTCAACTGATAATACATTGAATTATTTCATAATTTAAAAGGGGGGGCTACTTATTTAATGTTCAAGGAGGTTTTTAGGATTGTCATGCACAATTTTAATAACCATTTCACTTTCCCATTTGCAATGTGTTAAGCCTTCTAATATACAAAAAGCAGGTGGCATTTGGAAGACTACTTTCTTTCTCCCTGAATATTGATTGGCTTGGTAAGCATACTGCTGAACCAAAACACTCAGGCTATTACAGAATATAATCCTCAAAGATCTTACCATTTGTACATGCCATCTTTAAGTTGAAAGAGCTAATTCTTTCGCATTACTACTTCTGTGAGATACACTTAACACAGGAGACCACGGTGAATGTTCTTCTTTGCAAGGTTGATATCTCCATCTTTTTCTTAAGGTTGAAATCATTAACTGTTTTAAGAACATGACCAGTTGATTTGAAAATGGCTTTGGAGATTAAAGGAACAGGTGGATATAATTCCATATCTGTTTCACCAAATGAATGGGACCAAGATTAATGAGACTAAGATACCACTGTCTTTTGTCCGGTCTCAACAGTTAAGGTCTCAGGAAGCTATATGTGCACACATACTCTAAGATAACTGATTGAAAGGCATTTCTGTCACTTTTGAGAGAGGTACAAGCCATTCTGAAAGTCTGATGGTACTGTAAGCATGTCTGATCGAGAGATGGCTTAGGTTTCTGTTTCACAGATGTATTTTACTTTCATGTTCTTGAAACTGTGGTATCCACTTAACACACAGCTGCAAAATTAGATTTAAGAACTGAACAATTAAATTGTGGAATAGCAATTACAGTATGGGACTCCCTTGCTTGTTAAAGCAGCTTTGAGGATAAAACAAGACTGATTAGTTTTGAGGTCCATTTTTGTTATTCAAGTTAATACAATTCAACGTGGGTATAATGTTAAAAATGGACCACCATCCATTCCAGGATATCGGCTATCTGTTTCCAAAGTATAGGAGGGTAAGAGGAGTGAATTGTACAGTGTTGTATGATTGTTCACTTTGGCAAATGAACTTGAGAAACACTAAACAGGCCCATGTTTGTGCATCATACTAAAACTACTGTATAAAAAATAAAGGATGTTTTTGTGTGATTTTTAAAATATTTGAAGTTGGTTCATTTCTTGGTCATATACAGTACTTTGCAAAAGTTTTAGGCAGGTGTGAAAAAAT